AAAGGACAATGGGCAAAATTGTATGGACGTTGCACCCACGTCCGCCACGGCTTAAACTACATTTGTTTGAAAGGTATTATAGTCATGATCATCTGTACCAAAGCGCATCAAATTCCATCCCAGGGATCTTTACTTATTTTAAGTTAAATAGGTACAAGTTCATAGGTAAACGTAACTATAACGAACATAATATATATTAATGATACAAGGACCATTATACAGGACATTATTTATTATTTGACGACCTCCGTGGTCGAGTGGTTTGTAATGGATTTCATGGTGTCGCCGACTCGGGAGGTCCCGGATTCAAATCCTGGTGGGGCCAGATGTTTGTGTGATGAGTACGAGCATTTGTACTCCAGTCATGGATGTTTAATATGTATTTCTATATCAATATACTTATATATGTAAGGTATATGTATTCTATCCTTTACCCTATCATCCCATAACACAAGCCTCACAGTGCTTACTTTGGGGCAAGGCTAATCAGTGAGTGTAAAAAAAAGGAATTAATTATGAAACATTCATCCTCATCATCGACCCATGCTCGTCCACTGCTGGACATAGGTCTCCCCTAATGCACGCCACTGCTCCCGATTTTCTGCTACTCTCATCCAGCTCACGCCAGCCAGCCTACGAATGTCATCATCCCATCTTGTCTCAGGGCGGCCCACACTACGTTTATGAAACATTGCATTTCAAATATTTTTAATAATCTTCATCCACAGTGTCTAAGAAGAGAGTAATAATGTTTTAATGCATTTATTCCATTCTCGTCTTCATTTATCAATATATAGGAGTAATAGAGCTTAGACCTCGTATGCCTCCAATCTATTTTTGCTCACAAAAGCCACAGATTTTTGTGGCTAGCACGCATTTTTCATTCAAGTAAAAGAAGGAGCATTTAAATAGGTCCGTAGATTTTTTTATTAGCTCATACAATTATGATGACGTACGTGATGATAATCGTGTTCAAACTCTCTGGGAACCTCCCTCAATCGTTCCTTGGAAGATACCGTACTTAACTCTATTTGTAGCGCTTTTAGTATCAATAAAACTGGAAGGTTCAAATGCGTGAAGAGAATTTGAATTGTCACTGTCATGTCTGGTGAGAATACAAGTATCTTGCAGTTTGCCTGAATAAAAAACTGATTTACAGACTGACAATAGCGCACAGCTCAAACCGCTTGGTCTAGGGACTTCAAATTTGGCACATATGTTCCTTATGATGTCAAGGGGTGCACTAAAAAGGATTTTTCATAATCATAATCAAAATCATTTATTCAATTTAGGCTGTTATAAGCACTCATGAATGTCTAGAAGCTACGCCATCGGTTCGTAAATCTACGGCGGCCGACCTTGTACTGAGAAGAACCGGCAAGAAACTCAGCAAGGGCTGTTTTTTTCTCCCTGTTTTATTATTTACAGAGTCGTCAAGTTGAAAAATGATTTCAGAGATGATTTATGAAGTCACCTTTCATTACATAATGATAAATATACATTAATTGTTTACCTGCATTTTGATTGCTGTGTCATACAGTATAAATACAATTACTGTTATAATTTTTATTTTTTTAAAGCATGTAACTGCTTGATGTTTAAATTTAAAGAAAATATAACTAGAAAAAATTCCACGCGGACCAGGCAGCAGACGCAACTCGAACCTGAACCTTTCAGTCAGGTCAGTGCATTCGCCCGGATTGCAAGGGGTGCGGGTTCGAGTCCCGTCTGCTGCCTGGTCCGCCTGGAATTTTTTCTAGTTATATTTTCTTTAGATTTAAACAATTAGTGTTTTTATATTAAGTGTAACTAAACATTAACTTCCATATCAAGGAAGTTAGGGCAGACTCATCTCCGCTGGCAGCACCCGTTCACGAGCATGACTCATGAACCAGCCATCTCGCTCAACCTCACCAAGCTCCATTTTAGGGAACATAAAGACCCGCCTCACACGACACCGCCGAAGAGACTATTAAGAGAGCATGACTACCCATAACTACCCATACTAACTACAACATATTTACTTAAATTAGTCATTTATCTGTAGGACACCGTAAACAATTACAAAAACAAAGCAATCGAGAAATCACGACCACGCCATTTTGTCATTCAAATATTCCTGCAAATACAATATTCCTGTGAAGAAGCAACATGCATGTCGGCAGGGTAAGGATGGATGGTGTGGCAGGTAGAACTGCTGTATCAGCTATTTTTGCGTCTTGACTTCACCTTCACATAACATCAGGTGGGGTGGAGTCATTTGTCGGACCTAAATATAAAAAAATCGTAAACAGTCTTCCTTAAGTTATCAACTATATGAAAGCTGTATACTTTCAAAAATTATTTTAGTATTGTCAACACATGATTCATGATATACCTATATCATATAGAAATACCCGTTGGAATGGTTGGAACAGTTCATGCCAAGCATTTTTGTCTGTAATATAATCAGACACTTTATAATAAGCTTTCGTAGCAAGTGATTTTTTATGGTCGATTTAAATTTAGTCAGGCTTAACTCTTGAATATTGCTTGGGACTTCTTGTAAAAGCGAACACAAAGACCACTAAACGAATTATTGATTTTGTGGAGCCTAGTAGCAGGTAAAGTTAAATTATTCTTTTTACTTCTAGTATTAAGTGTATGTATTTCACTATTTTTAGTAAATTAATTAATATTTTTTTTACAAACACTAAGTGTACTATATGTAATGTATGTGTAACTTATCTCTTAGGGAACCCCTAACTTTAAGATTATAAATTGATCGAATAGCCCTCTTCTGCAGCACAAATATAGTTTGAATGTCGGCGGCATCTCCCCACAGTAAAATACCGTAAGACTTTACTTACACTATGAAAATAACCAAAGTAGACTAATCTGGCAGTTTCTATATCCGTTAACTGCCGTATTTATATTACACCATATGCTGCAGAACTAAGTCTCTTCGATAATCTATCAATATGTGGGCCCCACTGCAGCTTAGAATCTAGTGTGATTTCTAAGAACACTATGGTGGTGCTGCGGTTTTCAAAATTAATCCCGAAGGGTTTAAAATGTATGAAAAATATTATTCCTTGAGTCTACGAACTTTTTTTTTCCTTCTTTCTGTGGCGTTCTCCGTTTTACACAGAAATTTCGCCAATGTCCAGTAGGTAGTGAGAGAGACACGAGAAAGACTGCTCGGTAGAAACAGATTAAGGTGATATAAATAACCGATTATACGTTCTTCCTTGAGTATTTCACTTTTCTGGAAGCACATCACAACAAACATACACAAAGACGTCACAGGTTAAACAATATTAATTTATATGACATGGGTAGAGCCGACAATTATTTCCAAATAAAAATAGAAAGGTTAATAAAAATTAGAGTTTAATATTGTATTTTTTTATTAATTTAACACAAAAAGCCAGGTTTATCGGTCAATGTTAGAATTGTATTAATGTTAACGGGACGTACAGTTTTGGGTGGAAGTAGAGAATATAGAGATGGGTGTTTTTGACAGTTGAAAAAAATGTGGTCTACAGTGCCTTGCTCGAGTCCGCACTCACAAATGGAGCTGTCTAGTATTCGTAATTTGGAAAGAAAGACTGGCGAGGTAACGTGGCCGAGACGAAGACGGCTAATAGTTGTAATGACCCGCCTGGGAAAGTCGCGGAATTTAGTAAACCAAGGTTTTCTGGGTATTATGCCATAATGGCGGCCTATAATTTTGGAGTTACGACTCCATCTTTTACTCCATTCGGATTGAAGGTCGGTTTTAGCTAATTGGAGAACGTCTGCAGAGTAATTTTGAAGACGCGAAGGGTTACCCGATAGCGTAGCGTCTTTCGCCCAATTTCGTTGTCTCTAATATCACTATGACCAGGAATCCATGCTAGCGCAATATCAATATTTTGTGAATGACATTCTAACAGTGTTTTTTTTATGTCTAAGATGATAGGGGATACAGTTTTGGACTTGAACAGATTGCTCAAGAGAGCTTCCAGGCAGCTTTTGGAGTCTGTGAATATAATGGATTTGTTAATCCTGTGGGAGAGTATAAAAGTAATGGCTTCCGAAATAGCTACCGATTCTCCAGAGAAAGTTGAAGCCTCTTTTGGACATTTAAAACTTAATACAACATTAATATTTGGGGATACATACTGCTGCTCCTACATTGCCATCAGGACAGATCCTAGAGGCGTCTGTGAATATATATACCCAGTTTGACCACTCTACATTGGTGATATTTAATTGGTAAAATTCCTTTTGTGCTGTTGGACTGTTTTTGGCTATACCAAGGTTAAGATAAATATTTGGGACCAGGATAAGGGCATCATAACTAGTTTGAAAAAGAGGGTGAGTATTAAATTTAACTATAGGATAAGAGAGGGATGTAAATTTTCTGTAGCTAATGTAGGTAGGTAGAGTCTTATTAGACCAGTATGAGGATTCATCACATTCGAAAGCTCTTGAAGTTGTAAACAGATTTTGAACGCGCATTTAGATAAACTCAATAGTAGTAGTAATCTTGAGAACTGAAATAAAGATCGTGTATCAGGGTTCTTTGAAATTCTACACTAAACTCTAGCTCTACTCAGGCCTTGATTAAATCAGAAAAGGCTGGATTGAGACAAAGTATAATTTTTATTCGGAAATAATGTTAGGTTCCTGAGGGATTCTCAAAAAAGTTAAGTTAACGTGGGCAAAGTTCTTTATATAATAATGTTCCTAAATGTTTGTCAGGTCCTCAACCCTTGGTTTGAGGCGATCTCGACTTTTAAGACTGCCAAATTGCTCCGAATTCCAGCAGTGTTTTGGACTCTAGCAAACCCCCTATCTGAGGAGCCTGGTGCAAACATTTTGTGGAGTAATTAATTACAAGAAAATGGTCAGGTTACGATTACGATGGGTCGATATGGAGAATTAGGTCCCTTAAAAATAATAAATAAAAAGACAAGGTTATTTGATATTTGTCGTTTTGTGCAGCGTTTTTACATGTTCCTGTTTGTCGACAGAAAGGCGACGCGGCAGGTGGTGGACGCATGGCTGGTGTCGCACGCAACTCCACCCAGCGCCGAGCTAGCGTCGCCATCGCGTGCAGGCTCCGGCTCCGGAGCAACCACACCTGTCAGGTAACCACGTAGCACTAGCTTCCCGTTTAGCATTCCTCGAACACGACACGAGATCCTCTGGAACAACTGACTGCAATACGAGATCTTCTGAAACAACTGACTGCTTATTCTCAGAGGACTGTTGTCGGTTGCAGCTTATTGCTGAAGATATGTTGAGCTTTCTATTTGGAACTCTTGTCAAGAATACAATACGATATTCTATAAAACAAACTGCTTAATCTAAGAAAACCCTTGCCGGCTGCAGCAATGCTTAGCTACTTAATGGGAAGCTGTATGGAGTTTTCTGATTAGAATCCCTGCTAAGACCACGAGATTTTCTGAAATAATTGACTACTTAATCTTAGGGTATTGTTACAGCAATAGAAAGCCATATTGAGTTTACTGTTTCGATTTTTTTCTAACGATGCAACATGAGATTCTCTGAAACTCTAGGTGATTTATCGTATCATTCGTTGACATCATTCAGTTTGTTACCTTATATATCATTGGCGCTGTAGGGTGTGTTTTAGAGTTCACATATATCAGATAAAAGTAAAAAATCTTAATAAACTTGCACTCAATCGTGTCAAGGTTCACTAAAGCATTTCGTGAACTATCAAATTCTTTGCACATATTGCATTTGTTTAGTAAAACTCAAATCTAATCTAAATAGGTCGGTACTACGTGAGGGTATGTATTGTATTTAGCTTATATTTACTGTCAACGTTAAACCGAGTTTTAAAGAGAATCGAAGACGACAACAGACGGGAAGACATGTCACTCGTTGGGTGTATTTCAGGCAAATCCCCAGATTTATTTTGAAAACGAGCTCGCTTGTCAGGTATTATCAACATCAAGCCTTGAAAGCCGACAACATCCATCATTTTATATTTATAACAGTGGTTGTTAACCTTTTAGTAAAGACAGGACCTTAGATTTTGAATTTCCTATGCCCTAAATAAATCTTAAGTATAAATATTGTTATTCCGAAAATATTAGAAATTGTCATGAAATAACTGATATTGATGGCTTGTCATCATAGTCGTCCATTTGACCACAAACGATCGAAAAAGTTTCTATATTTTATATAAAACGCCTTGTCACTGTCCTTGGTTAGAGAATTGACAAAAAAAGGATAGAAATCGAAGCTTAACCAGTTTTCGATTCTTTGTGAATAAAACGACAGCTGATTCTTGCGTAGATGTCTGAGAATCCAGGTTCGAAAACGTGGTATTGGAATGGAATCGATGATGCTCAACCCTATATTAAAGTAGTATTTTTTTTTGGAAATTTGACCTCGAATATCTTCCTTGTTGAACTTATGATTTGAATTATGATTCACACATTAATATAACAATTTAAACAATTCTCTAGGCATACTAATACTTGTACCGTTAATACATACAACAAGAAATGGCATAAGTTATGGTACGAGTCACTGAATACCTAATGAGTGGCAATAATGTTGTAACGTCTTGTGTATAATTAAATTTGCGAAGACTAATCTAAGTAAAATTGACATATAACGAGCTTATTAACTTTTGAACTCTGTCAAACAACTATCTAGTATGGCTATTGGTATGTGAAGTCTTGCAAGTTAATATATTCAAGCAAATTAATTAGCGGTGAAACGGCACAAGTTTCACATCAGATTATTGTGCTTTAGAACAGAGAGTAGACCAGAAATAGTTTATTACCTACATATAATTTGCGTATTCCTGAATTTAATTTTAGATAATAATTGTAAACTAGAATATCAAATTTTCTAAAGCTGCTTACAGCTACAGTATACTTAGTCTTGCCGTTAATATGGTTACAAGGAAAATTATTCTTTTTCTATTGCATAAGTCATTCATTATTGTATTGTGTGTTATTTTATATATTAATAAACGGTAAAAGATATTGATATAATAACATTAAAAATATATGAAGCTCATTTAAAACGATCTCTAGTAGCTTTAATACAGTCCGTGCAGTCGCGCGCGAGCTCTGCGGGTGCAAATCGCGTTGTTTAGTTTTTACGTTTTACCTACAATTTCACATTCTACGCGAATTGCGGTCCCGTAGCCGCGGCGGTTGCGGAAGAAAATCGCGCCGTGAGTTCTTAGCCTTAATAGGAATTTACTCAAGCGTCATATTCCTATCGAGTTGCAAAGGTTGGATGCTAAAAAAATAGTGGGGGATTTTACGTGTATCTAATAGCTCCTATTCAAAAGTGACCTTGATGTACTTACTCGAGTGCATCAGATCATTATACAGACGCTTCATCTTGATCGTATTGACCTGACCCATAATATATGTGGAGGAATTTTCTTAATCTGACGGTTTGAATAAAAAGTTACTACTACTTTCAAAAGGCATGAAAAGGCGATCCATCAAAACTGTTACTTTTTATTGTAATCACCTTATTGTGATTATGTAACTTTGTGATTAATAGAATAATGAGACATCGATGTTTTGCCGTAGTAAATTCTGCTGTAGCTAGTAAATAGTTTTATTACGGAGCAGAGTATTCGTTATAATTTGTATCATTTTATCAAGTTCGTTTCTTTTCACGAAAGTGATAATTCAACTCAGCATGTTAAATAAATAGTTATTCTGTTTACGTCGTTGTGTGCCGAGTAAATAAATTTCGGCATACATTATTCAAATATTCGGCTTATCCCGCGGAAACCAGCCGGCACATCCTTCCTCCATCAATCTTCTGACATCAACACTACTTCAGGTGGGTTGGTACGTCACAAGAGAATAGATTACGTTGTTACTAACCTGACTCTCCGAGTTTAGGTAAAAAAAATATATAAAACCTTTTTCCTTCACACTAAAGAACAGTTAGAGTTACAAAGATAATTTTTATCTGAATAATAATGACATGTGTGAAATCCCAAATAAGCGAATAGGTATATTTTCCTTTCGTCTTGGTATTTTTTTAGTGTTTCCTTAGTTCTAAGATATCTAAATTTAAGAGAGTAAAATTTTTACTAATAGCAGTACATTTATTGCAAAATTTTGGCTTTACAGTTTACTTCCAAAGCAAAATGACATTGATTAATTCCGTATAACCCCAAACTTAGCTTTCCTTTTACACAAGGCCTTTTTTACGAATTAAAAACAAGTATATATAATAGAAAATAACCATAATTTTGGAGCAAATATATGTGCTCATCGAGATAACATTAAACTATGTTAAAGAAAACATTAGGCTGTCCAGAAAATAATGGCAACCCATTGACCCTTCTTGATGCCTGTCCCACACGTTTTCAACAGAGTTATCTAATAAGAAGTTGAACAAAAGGTATACCTAGAGTTACAACGTGACGTGCAAACGATAGAGGCTGAATTTGGTCAGTGTAAAAATCGACACGATAAGTAAAACTTAGGGCGCCTCTCCTTCGTTATCTAAAAACTTGCCGGGCCGTCTACCCAAAAAGTTTTCTCACGGGTCCTATTTCTCGATGAGGATAAAATTTGTTTTCTATATATAGTAACACGTTTAGGTGTAGCTCGCAGCTTCTCTGCGTATCTACACTTCGGAATTGTAATCCCTGAGGAAACTAAGAAGTCTCACGTATTAGTCCAAGTCACAGAGTTCAGGCGCGTAACTCTGTGCTGTCTGTGCTAGCACAGTACATCCTTAAGCGCAGGGCATTTGGTGTAAGGTATGCGATACGTTTTATATGTATATACACATATGTTTTAAAAGATTTACCTTAAGAACGACGAGTCACAAGATAGACACACATATGTGGTTATTACATGTGGTTGCATTTTAAAATTGGTTTCAACAATATATACATTTCACCTGATGTTAAGTGGAGTTGGTATAAGGGTTCCGTAGTTGTTTGCACCCACCTGGATTACACTAAAGCAGTCCAGTGGAAACATTAAAAGATTTTTAAATATAATAATACTTTGTAGTAACTTTTAACGACTGTCCTCTATGCTGTTGACAGGAAGATCTCAGCTCACGAGTTCGAGCGGGGCGGACTCCTGAAGCCGTTGGTGACGACGGTGGATGGTACACCCACCTTCCTCGGCGACCAGCCACCTCACGCGACGCCGTCACGGCCACAGCGGCGGTCCAGGCACGAGCTGCGACAGTTAGACGAAAAGGAGCTTATATTTGAATTAGTAAGTATTTTTTTGATGTGTAACATCTTTCCTCTCGCTTTCCTGCAATTGAGGGAGTGATTTCGTGAAATGGGACGGAAGTGTGTAACAGGAAGTCGCGAAAGTGTGCGCTATTTGATTTGATTTTAAAACAATGTTCAAATGGCTTATTCCTTTTGTAGTAGATTTATTTCTTTTTTTATTAATATAAGGTGAGTTTTCAAATGTTACACATCATACGCGACTACTGTAAGGCTCGCTTCTAGTTAACACGGACTAAGCTTGTGTGAGCTGGAGGCTTCTCTTGAGCGAGGCTCTGAAAGGAGAAGTCAGAACCTTGTCTCGTTCAACCCTAGCGAGACACAAGTTTGCGCATTCAATGCAAAGGACTCATTTAAGAGGCATGGAGAAGTTTTTCAAAAGGGTTGGCAACGCGCGTTTCCCAGCACCACGGTGCCCGCAACCATCGGGCGGCCAACATCACTTAGTTATTTATTTATTTGATCACCAACAAAGTTACACTTCGACATTTCTTATTTACACATTTATAGTACGATATTTTATTAGTGAAACTTTAATTATAGGCGATTACGAAATGCAATTTACACTTAACTAGCAATTATATCTTATAAAACTTTGATAATTACATTAATCATCTGCTCTGTATTAAACAGAGCAATTATGAATAAAATAAAATTTTTAAATTGTCAATAATTGAACAACAAAAATTAAATAAATTTATGAAAAATAAATCAATGAAAATAAATTAATGAAAAAACTATGTGGGCACAACCAAACATAAAGATTTTATTCTCTTCAGTGTATCCGCGAAGATGTCCATATCGGTCGACTTTGACAATGAATTGTACTGAGAGAGCATTCTATTTATAGGAGAAAATAGGCCTAGGTTCGTTCTGGAGCTTCTCGTCGCAAACAAATTATATCTCGACCCTCTTGGCAGTTTTAAGGGGATATTAAAACTTCCGCCCACAACAAGTTCCTTATTATGACTGATTCTAATATGATTATAAATTTTAATTAAAATCTTTTGTCAATAATTATTTTAGTGATTTCAAGTATATGTTTCTATTACATGGTTATTTATTTATTCATATATTATGAACTTATTCTGTAGGTTATTACGTAATCTGCACATGCTCTTTTTATTTTCGGGCTAAATAATTGTTGTGACTTAGCTAGAATTTATTCTTGACTAGCGGCCGCCCGCGACTTCGTACGCGTGGCGTTAGTAGAAGCGTACTTCTTCTTAATAACTCGAACGAACGAACGTTGGCGAACTCACTTCCATACAAATTTTTATTGACAATTTTTTTGCGTCTATAAATGAATTAATTGTTGAATTATAGATTTAGATTCCCGATTTAATTCGTCTATTTTTTTATTATAGGAAGTCTGGATTTATAGATATTCTACTTTGAAGTTTTGGAGGTTGTGTCATACGAAGTAATACAAAAACGAATTACAAAAGTATCTTCAAGAGTATTTTTAGATCAAAATATAAAATACGTGGAACAGAATCATAGACGTAGTAGTCCCGTCCCGTAGATTAGTGACGTAAAAAATGATTTTTATAATGTATGATCAGCTGGCGTAGGTACTGACCGACCGAGTCAAAATACTTAACAGACATGGGTTATTGAGTTCGAATACAATTTCTGTGCTGTAAGAAGTACTTAACAATTTGAAAATGCCCACAGCAATAATACAGCATAAAAAGCATTTATAATAGTGAATTAATGGGACATTTAAAAATGAAACACGTTTTTTTTTATATTTTTTATCCCACATCTTCGTTGATCACAATATTATAGTTAGTAGATACAATGAAATAAAATCCACAGTATGGATTAGAATCTTGTTCAAAATCCACAGCAAGAAGTCGTCCAAAATAGCGGATTCGGAATTCTTAAGCAAGCACTACTTAACAGTGGCAGGGGAAAATCTCGAAAGTCCAAAAGCAGTGTGCAAGTCACAAAAAAAACAAATCTCAGTAAAAACCACCAATGCGCCGATATAAATCTTTGCAATACGCGCATGCACAAGCAACGATAATGATAACAACAACAATTCAATGACAAGCATGACAGTGACAGTTATAGTTTTTTGCGTTAGAGTTGTCTACTATTTTTCTGTTGTGGAGATTATTTATTATGGTTTCAGTATAATATTGAAAACTAATGTTTCACGATATTTTTGATAGATAATTAAATATAGTTTAAGCGTAAAGCGATGCAAAACATACGAACAACATGGTTGAAGATGATTTAATCACTAAAATCACATAAAATAAATGGCTCAAAAGTAAAAAAATTAAAAAAAAAGGAGAAAGAAAAGAAAAAGGTTATTGTGTTTCCCTTTTTTTAGTTTTTAATTCCAGACTTAGACCACCCTCCTGAATTATTTCATAAATCTTTTGAGATTATTTATTAACATTTCTGATAATGACACCTACAGATGCTAAAAATTATTAATTCAACAAATATTTCGCCATTGTCCTTTGAAGTAAATCCACGTTTTCAGTTTATCCCGGACACACAACATAGGACATAGGACAAACGGATAAAAATTCTAAAAACTTTTTTTGGCTTCGGTTCCGATTGTAGATCACACCCCAAATATTCTTTTAAAAAATATTTAATGTATAGTTTTGACTTTCCTACCATTTTATTATATGTATGAGGCCACTATGGTTATATATGGCCTAACTCATTTTTTAACCACAGTGGTCTGTCTTACTTAGGCCAGTATGGCACCTCAAATTTAGATCACAGACTAAAAACCGTAACAGTTATTATACTGCCGTCTAGTGAATATTCGTTGTATCACTTTTAGACCACTCTGGTTCTATCAAAATGATCAATTTGAACTGGAAAACATCATAAACTCAATATTGTAAAAAAATTAGTTAAGCCACTATGGTTCTCATGGCTTCAATTGTTAATAGTTTCCGATTACTACTTATTACCATCAGGTGGGTCGCAATGTCGCATGCTTGTTTGCCACCGGTAAGTGGTACAAAAATATATTTTATGGAAGTACCTTCTTTATTTTATTTTATATTTAAAGTACATTGTAATAGTGACCGTGGAGTGAACGTTCCTGAAGACAGGTTACTTTACAAAGTTTATTTTAAAGCAACCTTGTTATAAGACAGTTGAGTTCACGACCAGATTTATAGTGGCTTCTGTAATAAAGTGTTAAGATTGTAGAGAAGCACATTAAATTAATGTTGAGGTAATGTCGTTTTAATAATAATGTTGCATCTTATAAAGAAAAATAAATATAGCAGCAGCGTGAAGTTTACTCATTAAAATATATATAAATGTTTTGAGGGTGCATCGCTAGTAAAAATATAACTTATGACGCCAATATTGTCCAAGGGAATGTTAAGAAAGTTAAATTTTTCTCTGAGCTCCAGCTCGTCGAAAAGTATGTATGCGCATCACTTCCTAACAACTGACCCAAATTGGATATATTTTTTTAATTGTGTTCATTATTATGAGGGCAAGCTTTGTAGAAAAAAACAAAAGACAAAAAAATATTAAGGCGGTACGATGTTCGCTGGGTAAGTTAGTATTATAAACAATCATAGAGCAACACAGCCGTCACGGCTAGGAGGAGAGTAGCCATAATTACATAATACTGCTGAAGTCACTCTGCCGCTTTTTGCGGGGGGAGGAATATGCACACAAATGCAGTCCAAAATACTTTCGCAGAAACGGAAATGTAATTACGACACTTGCGCTGTCATTTTTTATGTCACACATAAAACAAGTCCTATTGATTGAAATCTGTGTTTAAAAGTGGTTAAATAGAAATAATATGTTAATAATTCTACTTAAATGTGAAAATTAACACCATCTGTTTGTAAGTTTAATATTCCAGATATGTTTTACAGTAAAAGTACATAACATTTTAGCATTTTTGATCTCTAACATACACTCGCGCGACTTGACTCCGTCTAGGGCTCAGCTTTCCATTAGCTGTGGTTGAGTAGCGAGCTGAATTTTTTATCACGCAAGGTATTAATTAAAAGAAACACGTACACGAAATCTTTTTTGGCGGAAACGAATAGAAGTCGAGAAAAAAAATATTGAAAGTAATATTTTTGTAGGTGAAAAGTCAACTTTGACAGCTATTTTGATCAGTGCTGCCATTTTTTCACGCAAAAATAACATATTTCTCGTTATCTGTGGTAAAAATATGTTTATTATGTGGGTACTATTGTCAAAATGACAGATATACCGCAATTTTGTGTTTGTTTTGGGATCTGTCAGGCAGTCTATGTGTTAGTCGTAGTTGAGAGCGTTTTCGTACTCCTGTTGATATTTACATCGTCCGACTACCATGGCGTCCTACTTAGCGGTGATACTTCACACTAGGTTAGGTTAGGTTAGTGTTGTGACCAGCAAGAAATAAAAGTTCGTTAATAGAGACCTTTTTCTACCTAGGAAGTACAGTTTTACCATTAAAACCGTTCTCATTTTTTATAATTAACATACCTGGAAAAAACGTAGCTGCGTGGGGGGTGGGTTGGAGGGAGTTTATCCCTCCCCCTGAGGGGTCCTCCCTAACACTTATCCCCTTGAAATGCCCCCCCCCCTCCCAAACTATCCCGAAATTCAACCAAAGCTAATGGAATTAAGTACCCAATCTAGTGAAATATCAGACGCGCAACTAGTTTTTGAGCTAGCCTAATTGTGGGGAAAAATCGACACAGGGGAATGCTGTGAATACCTATACTCCCCTCCTGCGCGTTCGGCCGCGTTGCTCTATGTATACATCCAACACTCGAAACAGATCGGCGTGTGTTACTATTGAATCTGAAATAAAGCATGGCTGGCATTTCATTTGTGTTTCATATTACGGACGGCAGCAGCAAGAGAAACTGGCTTCAAAATTCAACTTTATACTCACTACATACAAAAAAAACATGCTTTTATAACAGACTTATTAAGATTCAGAAATCTTTGGCGATTTCATTTGAGATTGTAGATCTA